GCACATTTCAAAACTTTCTTGACGTGGCAAGCATGATGTAGTATTTTCTGGGGGAAATAGGGAATTGTGTGAATAGTTCTTGGCGCCTGTCTTGCTTGGAGTGGGCCTCTGGGGAGGTGCCCAAGGGTGGGGTTTCTGTGTCCCCAGGAAACACCCAGCTTCTGGGTTCTGACTCCAGGGATCAACTGCTGGTACTTTAGAGCAGATTTGATGATTATAAATATACATGTGATTGGATAGGACTAACATCTGACTTTTGCCATAAATAAATAAGTGAATGAAAAAAGAACAACCCAGGGTTTTCCAAAGAACAATATTTGTCTGTTTTTCTGCTTGTTTGTTTGTTTTTAAATCGGGCAACAACCCTCAAGACTATCAGATGTATTCATGAACTTCACTTTTAGGCCAACTTTCATGTGGATGGTTTATGAAGGGAACAACGGAGACAATTCATTAGTAGTGCTTATTATTTTTAATATACATTTTAAAATAAATATACCTACAGCTGGTTCACTCCCTAGATGTCAGAGATAGATGAGGTTAAGCCAGGAGCCATGAACTTCACTCAAGTCTCCCATTTGAGCAGCAGTAGCCCAAGCACTCGGGGAATTTTTCACAGCTTTCTGAGGCCATTAGAAGGGAACTGATTTATAAACGGGGCAGATAGGACACAAATCATAATCTATATGGGATGTTGGCATCACAGGCTTTGTCAGATGTGTCACAACATTGGCCTGCATTAATGCTTATTTCTTTCAAGAAATCTTTTTGAGAGCAGTAGGGAAAAGGCAGAAGTAGAGAGGCTGAAAAAGGAGAAAGGATATGTGCTGATCCCTAAACAGATACATGAGAAAATATCAATCAGGTGTCAGACTGCTGGAGTGAGCTCAGGAGCAATAGCTCTTGCAGGCAAAGGCTGCGATGTGAATATGCTTATACCCCAATGTTAAAGAGCTTTAATGTAAGTGCTACTTGCAAGATTTTCAGCACTCAGTTTTTGCTGACTTTCTGAATCAGCAAGTTTTTACATTGGTTTTGGAACACATTCTAAATATTCACCACCTGAGATTGGAAGGCAAATGTGTAAAGAATTGAGTAGACACGTTCCAACCTTGGATATCCCTGTGCTGGCTGCTCTTGGTACAAGCAAGCTGGGCTTCTACACACACTGAGCCAGGAGGCAAAACTGACTAACCCATTTGCTCCAGCATCTAATGGTTCTTGCACATCAAAAAGTGAGGTGATGGTATTTACTAATTAAAATAGTTTATTGTGATTATCATTTTTGTTTCAGGACAAATGATGTAGATGATCTTATTTATAACTGTCTCATTGGTCTTGATACTATTTTTTAAGGACTCAAGTGTTTTATTCCTTGCTGAGAAGGAATTACAAAAATAGTTCCTGCTATTCGAGAATATTAATTTAGTTTGATAGGCAGGTTTGGAAGAATAGTTTTCCTGTCTGTCTTATAAGAATTAAGGTCACTATTTAATTCACTTATTACTGAATTAAGTTCTTCTAATATTTGGCCTATGCTCTGGTGAAGATATTTGAATCGAAAGTGGATAAATATTAATTAGATGCTTAATGACTATTATGTAAGGATCCCTGTCTCAAATAACAGACTGTGAGTTTGTGTTTTAATATTCATTAAATTTCTGCTAAATGTCACAGTATTTCACAATATTGGTCCTAAATCCAAAGTTGTTATTGTGTAATATTCATCAACATTTCATAAATTTTGAGCATACAGGCTCATTAGACTTAAGTAATATGCCTATCATGATTGCGTATAAATATTTGAGTTACTGTTTGACTCTAACTTCAATGTCAATACTGTTTGTGAAATTCAACCACTCTATAGTTAATCTTCGTGGAAGATAAGCAACAACTATTTGGTAAAAAAGATTATTTTTTGTTATTTGATAAAAACACATTTTGCAGCAAGGATTTAGGCGAATTTTAAGCTGTATTTTGTGTGTGTTCATCACACATAGGTATTCAACTTCGTTTTTGCTTTTGTACTTGCATACATGTTTAAACGCATAGGACTAGCAGTATGCATTGGGAAGCACTAAATTCCCTACTTTTGCACTGGTAGGGGGCTTACACATAACAAAGAATGTATTTTATTATTTCAAATGGATAGAGTATTTAATATCTAATTTTTTTGCCTAAATTACCATACACAAATATACCTCTTTATACAAATACAATTGTTAAAGATACTTATGAGAAAAATGCAATCAGTGTTGTGGAGAAAGAGGGAAAGATAGCTCCTCCTTCCACTACTTCACTCCCCTCCATGACCATGGCTGTCAGAGTTGGGCCAGGTCAAAACCAGGATCCTGAAAATTCATACAGTTTTCCTCTCCGGATGTGAGGGGTCCAAAACACTTGAGCCAACTTCTGTTGCCTTGCAGGCATGTTAAAAGAGAGTCTGCCCATAAGGAGAACTATAGAAATGGAGCTCAAGCCATGAATCATGCAGGACAAAGGAACTGCAGGTGGCTTCTTAGACAACTCTACCACAGTGTCAATCCCATCATAGATACAATATTGATATTGATTTGATAACATTTTTTGCTGAGAGGGTGCTAAGAATGAACCATTTGGTTGTAAATTTTAAATTTAACGATGTGTACCACAAAGTCAAAATGAAGCTAATTTATTTTGTTGAATTCTACTAAATAACACTGAAGTTTTAAGATAAATGTGTACCAGGGAATCACTATTGTGTAGTGGGCTATGCCTTGCCTGTGATGCCAGCTTTCCATATAGGCACTGTCTCAGCTGCTTCATTTCTGATCCAGCTCCTGCTATTGGCCTGGGAGATTAATGGATTTGGGCCACTGCACCCATCTGGTGACCCAGGAAAAACTCCTGGCTACCAGTTTAGAACCAGCACAGCTCTTGCTGTTTTAGTTATTTGAGGTGTGACCCAACAGAGGAAAGATTCCTTGTTCTCTCTCCATCCCTTATTCTCTGTGGAACTCTACCTTTCAAATAAAAACAAACACTCCCCACAAAGATAAATGCTAACTAATCTGCACACAAATGACTATTTCAACACACATTTCACAAATAAAGAAGTAATATGACTCAGTTTTCGGACTGATGGTCTCAGTTTTGAATAAGATTTATTTATTTTTAGTGGAAAGCCAGAGATCAAGAGAAAGAAATCTTTTGTCCTATGGTTCACTCTCCAAGTGGCCATGATGGCTGGAGCTGAGCTGATCTAAATCCAGGTGCCAGGAGTTTGTTCTGGATTTAGTACTCGGGTGCAGGGTTCCAAGATTTGCACTGTGCTCTGCTGTTTCCCAGGCCACAAGCAGGAAGCTGCAATTAAAGTGGAGCTGCTGGGAAATGAACCGGTGCCCATATGGAATCCTGAGCTTGCAAGCCAAGGATTGAACCACTAGGTTGTCATTCTGGCCTCTTTATTTTGGTTTTAAAAGCTAGGCCCTTGGGAAACGATGAAGCTTAAAATATTTGTAAATGATAAGGTTTTCATTATATTAAAATATTTAGCGACAGAAGCAGCAAAATTTTTCAGATTTTCTCCTGACATTTTCAAAATGATATTTATGCTTTTCAGACAGTCTTTATAGTATAAGAAAGTGAAGGAAGCCAAACAACATATAAGAAAAAAAGCAGTGTTCACATCTGGAATTACATTACATAACTCAATCCATTGGCCTTAGGAGGAGGTTGAAGCACCAGATAAAAACCTCTCCCAGATGAAGGCAAAACATATGGAGAAAATTCAAAAGATTGATTTATATGGAGCAAGTAATAAGTAGAAGTCATCGACTCTTCAGCATGCTTCCAGGGCATGAATTAGAGAGATGATTGCTTTAAAAGAGAATATTGATTTTTTCTCATTGGAAATTACAGGATTTGTCCTCCCAAGGCTGTGTCCCCATACCATTGTCTCTGTGACTATTTTTATGTTTCACAAGTCAGTGATTGAATTATTGTTTCCATTGTGGGAGGAAAGGGAGAAGTATTTCTGAAAATTGATAATTCCATTACCATTATTACTTAGGCGTGTAATTCATTCTTTCTTCAAGCAGGCAATTAATTTTTCAGCCTGGCTTGTTCACAGTTTCACTCTCGGACATTGCATGAATCATTTATATGTGGAGGCACGACAGTCCGTGTCGCAGCCACTAAAGTACAAACATCAGTTGCCGTCAAGACTGAGTTATTTTATGGACCCCCCAAATCTTTCATTTCTCAGACAAGAATATGCAAAATGAAAACCCCTCCAAAAACTGAGGGAAAACAAAATTCAGAAAACTGTTTTGGTACAAAATAAAATTAAACCATATTTGCTTGTTTATAAGATGTATTTATTTTTGTTGGAAAGACATTTTCAGAGAGAAAGGAAAACTGAAAAAGTGATCATCCATCAGCTGGTTCATTCCCCAAATGGCCCCAACGGCCTCAAAGGCTGGACCTGAGAGGATTGGAAGCTTGGATCTTGGAGCCAGGAGCTTCTTCCTGGTCTTCCACATGGGTATGGCAACCAAAGGTCTTGAGCCGTCCTGCATGGTTTTTCCAGGTACTAAGCAGGGAACTGGGATCAGGAATGAGGAAATTGGATCATGAGCCAGTGTCTACAGGGGAAGCCTGTGACTAAGATGGAGGATTAGCCTTTTATACCACCATGCTGGAAACCAGGATTGCTTTTTCCTAACACATGTTTTGCATGCAACACTTGCAGGGTCATTCATACTGTGAAAATGAGAGGATGTAGAAGAGCTAGGATTCAATGAAATACCCTAAATGCATTGAAATAACTTGATTTGTAAAAGTGTGGGACTGTTACTAATACTCTAATGCTTTCATTTTGATGAATAATCAATCTATGGAGTTTTAATATAAAATTACTTTTTTATTGCAAAAATGGATGATATGTTGTAAATGTGATTCAGAAGGTACTTAAGAATGGTACTGGATGCACTAATCTCTCTGTAAAATTTGTCTTTCAGGAAAGAACAGTGACCATCAGAAGGCAAGCAGTGGGAGGATTTGGCTTGAGCATCAAGGTAGCTGCCTTTCCAGTGTATCCTTGCAAAGACTTTGCTGTAAGGGCTGGACTTCTGTGCATTTTAGTTAATGTTATTTACCACTCAAACAAGAATGAGTGTAACAAATCCATTCGAAGGGTTGATTAACCCATTAGGGAGGTTACATTTAGGTCTGCTCTCACAGAATCATGCTCACCCTTTACATCACAATTTAGAAGTTACAGAAAAGCTTTTGGAATTTTACATTTCCCAGCCTTAGATACGTCTCATTAGTATTTTTATCTGCCATCTACCAAAATATTAAATGTGATACTGCCATGTAAGTTTCATTCTCGCACCTAGTCCAACTGGAGTAGAGGAGCAGACATGCAGCAAACCGAACAAGGACAAATTTCATACCAACAAAAACCACCATAGTATGGAGTACTAATTAGATTCTATTACTTTTTTTTGCTTAATTTTTATTTTTATTAAATCAATCACAAACTCTCAATCCACAATGTCAAAGCCATTTAAAATTAAATAGTAATGACTTTTCTTTCTGGATACTAATGGCTTTTAAAGGTGTACCACACTTGAAATTTATCATTGTTGAAATAAAAAGGACATTTTGAAGATTAGAAAACCTACACATAATGAAGAATTAAGCCTGGGCTTTATTTATTTATTTATTTCTATTGGAAAGTTAGATATACAGAAAGGAGGAGAGACAGAGAGGAAGAGCTTTCATCTGCTGATTCACTCCCCAAAGCAGCAACAACGGCTGGAGCTAAGCCAATTCAAGCCAGGAGCCAGGAGCTTCTTCTGTGTCTCCCATGCAGGTGCAGAGGTCCCAAGGCTTTGGGCTGTCCTCGACTGCTTTCCCAGGCCACAAGCAGGGAGCTGGATGAAAAGCAGGGCTACCGGGATTAGAACCGGCTTCCATATAGGATCCTGGTGCATGCAAGGCAGAGACGTTAGGTGCTAGGCTACTGCATCAGGTCCCACCCAGAGCTTTTTATAAGCTTAACAAAGCTATTATTCTATACTGATTATTGAAATTGAACTTCGTCTAGATGCTTGTGTTAAATGTATACATACATTAAATAATATATTAACTATGTATTAAGCATTATTTATATTTGTGCTAGATGAAAAAGCTAGGCAGCTTAGGTACACAAAAGGTATGAAAAGTTTTGTCTCTACTCAAGTTACATATGTACAAAGCAAAATTCTGACATTTTTGGAACACCAAATTTGGTTAATTTTGCAAATGTCTCAAAAAAGAGACAAGTGTGCAGGATAATTGTGTCATCAATGAGGAGGCTATTAGTGTACAAATGTTAGCTTATAAATTGTTTTTGTCATTTTTTTCTACTATCAGCTGAGACAAGAGAAGCTGGCAGAAAATGAATAGGCTGAAAAGAAAAAAAAAAGACTTTGGGAGCCATTTCATTTAAAAAACAAATTTGGGGTGTTGTGTGTGTATGTGTGTGTGTGTGTGTGTGTGTGTGTGTGTGTGTGTGTGTGTGTGATGATGCCTGTTCAGAGTGCTGACTTAAAGGTGATACTAAAACACTAGAAAGTCCATGAACAAAATCCATGTTTCCTGATAGTTGAAACCTGTTTTATGTCAATAGACTTTTTTGTTACCATTTCCCGATTTTTATTTACTGTTGAAATCAAATAACATGTTACTTATTTTTACTAAAATACTACATTTTTGTATAAATATTTGAAAGCTTTAAACATACTGCAACTGAATCTTTTCATTCTAGTGTTTTTATTATTTCAATCTATATACACAGTGATTTCATGATTGATTCAGGGTATATTTTCATTTAAGGTATTGGTCTCAGGAGTCATACTTGACCTGTGATTAACTATATATTAGGAGATTTGACCAAAAAGGAAAACTCTATGACCGGCACAAAATCACCAAACATAGAAAATTTAGAATTGTTTTCTAAACAATTTATTGATTTTACATGGAAAGTCAGGATTACAGAGACAAAGGGAGAGACAAAGAGAAAGCGAGAGATCTCCCAATCCAATGGTTCCTTTCCAAATGGCGGTAACAGGCAAAACTTGGCTGATCCGTTTCAGGTCTCTCATGCGGATGCAGGTTCCCAAGGCATTGGCCCATCCTCTGCTGCTTTCCTAGACCATAAGTAGGGAGCTGGATCAGAAAGTGGAGCAGCAGGGACATGAACGTGTGGGCATATATGATGCCAGTGACATGTTAGACACTTGAAAACCATTTACAAATGATGCAAAGACTGCTACTCCATGCACTCCTGAATCTCATGAGAAATACAAGAAACAATATATGCTTTCTGCCTTCCAAAAACGTCATTGGTAAAAACTTCAATGAATGGTAACAAAATGACCTTTGGTCAGAAAACAGGGAAAAATGATGTTAAGATGTTAAAGTCTGCTGGTCATGCTTAGATCCCTGGGAAACCTGGGCTCCTGCGCCCTTGCCGCCAGGTCACCTCTGCACATAATGTGTTCCTCAGTTCTCCCTTGTGGCAGGCAGCACCCCAGACACGGCAGGTGACTGGGGAGAGAGGTTGCTGCTGTGGTGCCTTGGAGCGTTACTAATTCGTGTGCTGTAAGAGCTTTAGGTTGTGGAACATCTGATGTTCTGGGAACCAGCAGTGTTCTTAAATCCACGTTCTCTGGAATGCAGTTCTGTTCTCTCATCCTTGTGCTCTCTTAAGACACACACACACACACACACACACACACACACACACACACGTACAAAATTGCACAGGCGGGATAACAAGATGGAGACAGTTATAAACCTCAGCAACTTGTTTCGAGGACTTCGGGGTCTTCCCTTAAAGGGATAATGTCATGTATGATTTAGATACGATGCAGAGAGTTCCACCTCAAGATTCCTGAAATCCCAAACCTTAGCAAAAGTGAACATCATGTTGTTGATTCACAGTTCTTGCAAGCTTTGTTTATTTGAACAGCAGAGAGGAAAAACAAGTGACAGAGATGGATATCTTAGCTTCTATTTCACTCCCTAAATGGCAGCACAGCTGAGGCTAGGCGAGGCCGAGACCAGGAGCCAGCGGCAGAACTATCTGGGCCATCAGGATCAGTATGTGCGAAACAGAAGAAGCTAGAATCAGGCATGGATTCGGCACATGGATCCACATTGTGCAGGAGGCATCCTGACCACAGTCTCCGACATCTGACCCTCATTTATATTTTTGGAATACTGCTAAAATTTGCAATCTGATTTCCTTTCTGTTAGTCTACTTCCCTTGCTGTTATTGCTGGGGTTTTTACCATAAAGACATTCTCGGATTCAACACGATAGCCTAGTAGCTAAAGTCCTCATCCTGCCTGAGCCAGGATCCCATATGGGTGCCAGTTCTAAACCCGGCAGCCCCGCTTCCCATCCAGCTTCCTGCTTGTGGCCTGGGAAAGCAGTCAAGGATGGCCCAAAGCCTTAGGACCCTGCATCTGCTTGGGAGACCCAGAAGAAGCTCCTGGCTTCTGGCCTCGGACTGGCTCAGCTCGAGCCATTGCAGCTGCTTTGGGGGAGTGAATCAGCGGATGGAAAATCTTCCTGTCTCTCCTGCTCTCTATATATCTGACTTTGCAATAAAAAAAAAATCTTTTTAAAAAAAGTAATTCTCTTTCTAACCATGGTTTATTATCCCTACCTTTCAAGTAAATAAATATATTAAAAGATAAAAAACAATTTCTTGGTTTACATCAGAATCAATACAGAATTATTGAGTTTTCTTTAGAAATCTCTGATTTATTTTCATTTGTAATTATGCCCTTTAGACTCCTGAATGGCTTTGTAATATTTTTTGATGAAAATTAAAGTGCAAACTAACTCAGCACGCATGTCAGTTCTCAACAAATAGAAAGTAGTATAGCACAGAGCCCATCAGTGGCCTCTGTGCACATGCGCAGACCTGTGCTCCCGACGCCAAGTCATGGCTGATGACCAGCGAGCAGAGGCCCAGCTCTCACTCCCATGTTCTTGTTGCAGAGACTGGAGGCCTTGTCCATCATTGACTCCTGAGGTTCAAAGTGGTTTCTTACATCTGCAGGACATGCTTATTCCTGAATCCTGTGTCGTTCTCGGCATTTCTGCCCTGACTTACAATCATCATTGGACTCTAGTGAATCAACAAGGATCAAAAGAAGAATAGAACTAGAACACTATGAAATGTGTTGAGACTTTGTTGTCTTTATGATGCCTTTTATGTAAGCCTCAATTTCAGGCTTCAAAGTGGGACTTCAAAGTGGGCGTTCCTGGAGGGGGAGTGCGGGGGCTTTCCTACCTTTATGATTTGAGCGCCTCCCTGTGTTCTGTGTACAGTGCTCACTCCTGCTCTGTCCTGTTGGTGGCCATGCTGATCTATGCTGTGTCACACCCACATTTCCATTCACAAGTATTCTTGTATTTGTTGTAACTTTGGGTTGGTAGATTTTTGAGTTGTTCTCATTATCATCATTCCATTTTCCCTGATGGAATACATTTCTTGGAAGTCACAAATGTGCATTTTTTTTCCTATCATAACAGTTCCTGGTTTTACTCGTCCTTAAACAGAAAAGTCAAGCCTATCTATTTAAAAAGTGTTATGTTCCTCCAAGATATCTGTGTTTTCCCAGAACTGAAGAAAATGAACATGAGCATTGTCACTGCTAGTCACACATCCCACTCTGCATTCAGATGAAAGTGGCTTCCTCTGAAGAGGCATCAGGATGGCTGTGTAGGTCGTGCATTGTCCTGCTGGCCTTCCCCATCTGTGCTGACCTTGGCTTTCCCCAGGAGCAGCATTAACCCCTGCGGGATTCCCTGACTCCCCTCTCAGTACCTTGGCTGCTGTCTCCACCCTGTCTGGGTCCTTTCGTAGATATTTTCTTTCAAGTGTTCATCAAACCGGAACCGTGCTAGTACTTATCATCCTGTAGGTAAGTTAGTGAGTACAACTGTATCCACAAATATCACCCACTTAAAGCAACGGAGGGTTTACAAGTCTTGCTTCTTTGGCCTTACA